CCTGTGGCTTTGAAATGGCTAATTATTTTTGGGCTCTAAAATCATTCACCCAGAAGTGATTTGGAACAAATCCAGACTCTGCTGGGAAAAGTCTTGAACACAAGCCAAATTTTCAGCTCCAGAGATCAAATACTGTGGGAAGGTTGGGGGAAAAAGATGAGTTTTGGGTTCTAATAGTTCCTGATGTAAAAATGAAATATAAAAACTTCTATACACTTTAAAAACACTGTAGTTGAATTTAGAGATCCCATGTTTCCAAAATGTATGATCCTTAAACCAGCAGTATTGGCATTACCTGGGAACTTCTTAGAAATATATAATATTAGGCCCCCTCAAAAATCTATAGAATTAAAATTTGTATTTTTATGAGGTGCTTGAGTGATACATATGCATGTTAAAGTTTGAGAAATACTGACATACTTCCAATACATAATTATCCTTACCTGAAACTTAATCATTAATAAGTCACTCATTTATTTTCCTAGTGAAGTCTCATTTGAGTGCTTGGTGAGGTTTAGGTGGTTGCTCATGTAAGTCTGACCTGTCCATTGTCAAGGTACACACTTTGTCAAGGTCCAGAAGAGCCATCAGAGGGCCATGGGGACTATGAGAGCCAGAGAAGCCTCAGTGAATATGGATTGAAGGTTCTGCCTTTATAATAAAACACTTTTCAGTCATATAATTTTTAATATTGGAAATCTCTATTAAATACCTCACTTCTCTGACTATAAGACAAAAAGTATACTTTACACAGATAATTGTGCCAATAAAACAAGATAATAAATGTCAATATATTAAATATGCTTGACACTCAATATATCTATCATGTGTCCTAGATTTAGAGTTCTGAAATATATATTCATATTTACCTTTAGTGGAATACGTACTCATGTACAACTTGCTTGCACTCTTATTAGTAGGTTTGGGGTTTATTTTCTTTGTTTTTGTTTTTTTTTTCATTTAGTAAATAATAAGTTCATACAAGTCACCTTGAGGAGGAATCAACTCGATGACAGTGGTGTGGTGGGTTGGGATCTTCTAGCTATCAAAGACTACACATTTTCTGGCAATGTAAATTGAAGAAGCAAGTGTCTTTACTCTGTGAGTCTATAGTGTACCGAACGGGCATATAAACAGAGGGGAAATTTATTTACTAATGTTTCTATACTAGGAGCCTCCAAAAGAAAAACAATCTTTTACAGCTAAAGCTTTGATTATAGCCCTCCAAGGGTACAGGTAAATCTGACGTGTCCATCCTAAAGACGTCTAAGTCTTTAGGTTGTCCTTGGCTACCAACATTGGCTACAACCCAACCAGTGGTGATACAGAAGGAAGTCCTGGTTATCAGCCTCGATAAAGATTACAACCAATCAATCCCTGGAGAGGTTCTATTCTGTAATGTACAGGATCATCATCAGTCAGAACTGACTATGGCAAAGTGAGATTTGGATATGAGGTTGGGAGGCCTAGCTCAGATGGAAGAAGTGAAATTCTCAATTGTCATTTCTTATGGAAAGAGGAATGCGTCAGAAACTAGAAACAAAACAAGTAGATAACTGTTGTCGAGAGAATACAGGAATAATTAGAGGAAAATTGAGGATTAGGCATTGAGAACGTGGATGTTTTGGAGCACTAAGAAGATTTGGAAAGGAGGGGTTTCGTTTATCTTCTTTTATTTTTGATATGGACTCTGAGTAAATTTTAGTGGCATTTGACAAAAGACATCGACTCCTTATTTGTGCTTTCACTGTGCCTATACCCCAAAGTTTCTAAATTGTCTCAGATCAAAAGAGAATCAGGGTACAGTGGTATTGATGATATAAAATTTACCATTAAAGATAAACTGCTTGATGGTGCCAGGCTATTAAAAGATATAGCGTCAGGGGTATTAAAGATGGGAGAAGGATGGGGAGGGAGGGGATAAAGGGGAGCTGATATCAAAGAGTTCAAGAAGAAAGAAAATTTTCTGAAACTGATTGTAGTAGCAATTTTACAATTATGCTGGATTCTTTTGAATTATGTAATGTTAAAACATCTGTAAGATCCCCCAATAGAATGATTAATTAAAAACATAAAGAAAGAAAGGTAAACAGCTTGTCCAACTTAATAAAATCTTTTTTACAGTTAAGTAGAAGTACAATTGTTAACATTTCAACTATCACTATAAAACTATTTATATTCTAAACAGCAATTTATTCATCTTTTATATGAGGGTAGGTGACATGATCTATGTGAGGTTTTGGTGAACACACTTGTATTTTGTGACTGGGAGAGATGTTCAGAGTTAAACTGTCTCTACATCATGTCTCCTACCAAAGACATAGCTGTTCCCATATGCAGCATCAATTCTACCCTATATTCCGAGAGAGGGACGATCGAGCCTGAGACTGGGGGTCTTTCTAGGAGGCACGCATGAAAATGGATTTGCATCAGCAGGAAACTGTTCAGAGCATAGAGTGGTGAATGTATTTGGCTTACTTAGACAGTGTTTGGAAGGAAGCCAGGTACCTAATGGCTAAGCTCCTCATTGCTGAGAGGTTGGCAGTTATAACCCCATTACTGTCTCCACAGAAGAAAGACCAGACTGTTTACTCCAGGGAAGATTACAACGTAGAAAGCTATAAGTGGAAAGTTCTACTTGGCCACCTATGGCTGCTTTGAGATGAAAATTCACTCAAGAGCACTGAAAACAAGAGGGTGTGAAACAGCAAGGCCCCATTAGTGGTGCCTGCAAGAAGAAAATATAATTGTGATTAAAATCAATTGCTAAGAAAGGTTGATGTGCAGGGTGGCAATTCTGGAGGTTCTGGGATGAGCAAAAAGCAGTGATCATCCACTTCTACCTGCCTGTCCGCTATTGGCCATAATGCTACTCACGGAGTCATTTTATTTCATTTGAGTTATTTGAAGAAACGACATAGAAGGGAACCAAAAATTCTGTCCTTTGGAGGACATGTTAGGTGCTTTTAGTTGGCATCTGACTCATGATTACCCCTTGAACATTGGACCATGTGATCCATGGAGTTTTTTTATTGGCTGCTTTGGGGAATTAGGTTATTAGACTTTTCTTCCTCGTCAACCTTAATTTGTAAGCTCCACTGAAGACTAGCATCCCAGTAGCACATGAGTTTGATAAGCAGATGCTGTTTGTAACTTGAACTGACAGAGAATTGTACCCAGCTCTCTGGCATATAAAGCAAATACGTCTCTCACTAGACACACCACATGTAGTCACTGGAGAAGGACTTCTGGAGGCCCAGACATGGAATTGTCTCCACGGAACCTCTGTCTTCTTCATAAAAGAGGCACTCAGGCTGGCATGTTGCATTCACATCTTGGGGCACTGGGTTGAAATCTGGTCCCTCTTTCCCTGTGTAGATATAATCAATACCCTCCCCTTGGGTGGGTTAGTGCCTTGTGCCCCCACTACCCATTTCTTTTTTATTCTTTTTCCTTTCCCCCCTCCTTTTTAGTTGGCTACTATATGTATCCCTCGATTTGTCTGGCACCTATCCTACTTCCTGGTTCTCACCCCAGGGATGTTTGTATATAATAGCTTTTTCCCTATGCCCCTTTCGCGTTTTTTTTTAAAGCTTACCTCAGCGGACTCATGTTGTACTTCCCCTTTTGTGCTTGGCTTATTTCGCTTAGCATGATTTCCTCCAGTTCTTCCCATGCAGTGATGTCCTTCATGCGTTCATCACTGCTTTTTAGTGATGAGTAGTACTCCATTGTATGTATGTACAACAGTTTTTTAATCCACTCATCAGTTGATGGAAATTAGGGTTGTTTCCAACTCCTTGCAATTGTGAACTGTGTCCCAATGAACATTGGAGCATAGATGTCTGGCCGTGGTTTGTTTCTTGCCTCTTCTGGATATGAGGAGCTGATGCCGGGGGCTTAAATGGAGAGCAAATATTTTGAGAATGATGAGGGCAATGAATGTACAAATGTGCTTTACAAAATTGATGTATGTATGGATTGTGATAAGAGTTGTATGAGCCCCTAATAAAATGATTAAAATATATATAAAAGAGGCACTCAGGGGCACTCCATAAGAACTGATGCTTGATGGTTTATTTTTAATTTTAATTTAGTGTCTGTTTACTTTGCTTCAGTTCTCATGTCAGTATAGTGAGATATTGTTTATAATAATCATTATATACTTATGTGATATAAAATAAGTATAATGCTTAATTGTGACCGTATTGTGTACCAGATCCAGTGGCGCGGTTCAATCTTTACTACTAGTATATGATGTGAAGGAACTACATTACAGATAAAGAAACTGAGATTTTTATGGTGCTAAATCACTTGCTTAAAGTGTAATGCCAATTAGGTAGTGAAGGTAAATTCAACCCAGAAAAGTTTGATTTCAAGGCCCTGTATTGACATATTATTTTCTGTAATTGTATTTCTGTGACTCAACTTATTTTCAATGCTTTGTTTTCCCCAAAATACATGTATGATCAATCTCTTTCTGTGTGCTTTTTGCTCTCTTCTGTAACATCTGAGATATTTTATGCTCCAATTTGTGTCTTTACAACAGCGGATGCTATTTCCTTCCTCAATTTTATTCTCTCTTTTCTCTTCAGCTTCTGGACAAGATCCTATTATTACATGAATTTCAAAGGCACTGTTCTATAGATAAAACTATACTAAATAATTCATCTGTCTCTCTCTCTCTCTTTGCCTCAAACTTTTAACAACAATATCTTCTAACCCGAGATTTCTCAGTGGTTCCTTAAACAAAACTAAGGCTTGAGGTCTTGCGGACTCGTCAGGTGTGAGATAAGCATGAGTAAGAATACACCTGTGATTCTGTCATCACTCTGACATGCTGGCCACTCAGCCCCGACCCCTGCATGGGTAATGATGATATTCACTGATCCGGAGAGAGGGACATCTAGTAGCCTGAGTCATTGAGTGTTTCTGGCATGGCTATAAAAGATGAATGGCTTCTGTTAGGTACGCATATTTATGCAGGGTGAAGAGTAAGCATTTGCAATGCTGCTTGCCATCTTAAGAGCTACACTTTTCCTACCCTGGTGCCTGGCCCTCCCAGTGCCACCAACCACAGACCTTAAAGGATGGGAGTTTGTTAAGGTAGGTGTTCTCATCAGGGACGTATTACTTCATGTTGACCTTTGTAAATTCTGGGCAGTTCTTTGCCTTTGTAGACTCTTCTTTATATATATCTGGCAATGCTAGTAGGAAGAGAAATAAATTGCTAACAAAAATCTTTTTACCTATCTAAAATTCTTTTTTTTAATTTTCAAAAACTTAACACATTTTGAGTCTCTGAAAGTATTGCTGGCACTACCCATTCTCTTTACTGTGCCTGCGTACGTCAGGAGCTTATCTTCCGTAAGCTTAGTCTTCTATATGGCATAAGGGGAACGCTGACGGACTGCTCAGATCTGTGAGTTTGTGAGGTGGTGAGCAATCATGAGAAGTGATTTAACTTGGCTAATAGATCTTTTCACTGACTAGGACATGTCTCAGATTGTTTGCTACATGCTTTCAATTACTCACGCAATCCTCAATTTGTTCTAAACCCAGTCTGAAGTACCAAAAATATCCCTAAAATCCTGACCATTGATTTTAATCATGTATTTTGTAGCTGGTTAGAGATTCAGTCTAGTATTTGTGAAAACCTGGTCTAGAAAAATATGGTAACTTATTTGCTTTAAACCACCTAGCTTAACAGATAACAAAAGTGCCGTAAGAATCTAGAATTATATGCAGATAACAATGGAAGCACAATATAATGTACTAGTCAATTAGATAGTCATGGCTTGTTCTAGGCAAATGAATTTTTGTATTAGACAGGCATAAGTATTATATGATTTTTGTGGTTTGGCTGTATCATTTCAAATTTTTTGTGATCACTTCATATTGAAGCTACCTAATCAGAATGACTAGTGTTCTACCTGAAATTTGTGTACCCAACCCTGACCTGAGACAATTTATAACTAGCGTTCTAAGCACCCAGTGACTTAAGCTTGAGTTCCCCTCTCTACTTGAATTAGGGCTTGAGCATTTATCTCAGACACGCTATGAAACCTACATCAGAGCCAATTTGATTCAACACATCCCAAGGCTCCACCTCTTTGCAAGAGGCCCTGCTTAAAAAATCAAGCAGCAGCACTGCAGATTTGCCCAAGTCTTGGGAGAGTTGGGGCCATAAACTTGTGCTCATGCATTGTTTTTAATCAGACTGCCCTCGCTGAAGCAGAGCAACCATTTTCACGACTATTAACCATGATGGGCCTGTGCTGGCCAGCTCAGGCCTCTTTGAGGCTTAACAATGCAAAGTCACTGCTTGGCATTATTCCAGAGAGTGCAATTTTAATTTAATGTGTTTTCTGTGTAAATGGTGGACTCAGGAATGATGCTATATGCAACCTTGTTGAGCATGGTTAGTGGCCCTGTGTGGGCAAAATAACAGGGAAAACCCCATTGGATTCAGGTATGGAGAAGGTTTATGGAGTAATCAGTGCTACATGGGATGGAACAATGATTTATAGAAAGATATCTTAGTGATTTGGCCTGAGTGGTGTATTTCCTTGATGTAGGTGAAAGGGGAACTGCTTGGATCAATAAATCAGTGATCTATGAATAAGGGTGAGTGGTTACAGAATTCTAACAATACAGTCTATTTGAGTGGAGTTTCTAAAATTGCTACGAATTATGTGGTTTAATTTTCCACAATCTGAATTTGTTTTAAATTGCAGAAAGCATTTATAAAAGGAAGCACTTTTCTCCCTAGTTACTAGCTTAAGTGGAGCCTTAGTAATTATATTTTTCATCCTTTGAACTTCATGAAAATTAAGGCAAAACTTGAAAGATTTGTGTCCCACTTAATTTTTTTTTTTTTTAAAAAAAACTTTAATCATTTTATTAGGGGCTCATACAATTTTTTTTTTTTATCAATTTATTGGGGCTCATACAATTCATCACAATACATAGATCAATTGTGTAAAGCACATCTATACATTTGTTGCCCTCATTATTCCCAAAATTCGCTTGCCTCTTGGGTTCCCGGAATCCGCTCATTTTCCTTTTTTTTTTTCCACCCCCCTCCCCTTCCCTTCCTCCTCCCCTTTCCCCCATGTACCCTTAATAATTTATAAATTATTATTGTATCTTATATTACACTGTCCGGCGTCTCCCTTCACCCACCCCGCTGCTGCCCGTCCCCCAGAGAGGAGGTTATATGTGGCTCCCTGTGATCTATTCCCCCTTACTACCTCCCCTTTCCCTCCTGGTATCACCACTGTCACCCCTGGTCCTGAGAGGTTCTTCTGTCCTAGATTCCCTGCGTTTCCAATTCCCATCTGTTTTTATCTTATTAAATAAATCAAGCTAGTTCTTAAAACAAACCATGTTTACTTTTATTTGTGCTCAATTCTAAAAGTACAGGGAAACCTGAGTGACAAAGCAGATCTTTCTTTTAACTGCATTTTTATAGGAAATGCAGAAATCAGTGAATATATTCACATTAAGCACTCTCATAAGAATTGTAAGCTAGACTAAACTAAGACATGAACATTTATCTTCCAGCATTTTTAGTACAACTATGGTTCAAATATACATGTAGGATATAAGTCTAAAATCCAAGTGATATTTTTATTAGAATTTAAGACAGAATAGATGAGATTGTAAAGGAAATCACTGGGGAAAATGAGTAAGGTGATTAATAGACTGCTTCAAGTATTTACTGGAAAATAATTAAATAGAATGGCTGTAGAAGAATCCACTGAATTCTATGTTTTATTGTTCACAGATTCTATCCTAACAGAGAATACTTGAATCAAGCAGAAAATCCAGAGACCATTTTCTCTGGGAAATTCACATTTCATATCTTTATTATCTGTATCATTAGAGCTATCTATTCTGGAACTTGAATACTTTGATTATTGAGCATTTATTACCTAGTTTTCTAATTCAATTTTATTCAATCACATGTGTTTAATACTATCTGTCTCATGTCATAGAGAATCAGATACAGTTGACTCTATCTGATTGATAACAGGACCATTAAGAAGGTCAGATAGACAAAGCACTTTCTCTCAGGGCCCTCGATGAAGGTTTTGTCGTTCATTGTTGATACTATGAATACTGTGGTTTATATTTTGTGCCTCTAAGTAATCACAGTTGCTTGTCTCTCACACCAGGATTATTTCCATCGATTTTTCGTGACCAAGAAGGAGTCACCTCTCCTTACCCAGGGAGAACAATTACGATTCCTGCAGCAGTTTTTCCGTCTGAACGTGACAGGCCTACTGGACAAACAGACATTGGCTGTGCTGCGCCAGCCCCGCTGTGGGGTACCAGACGTGGCTTCCTACTCAGTCTCCCCAGAAAGTCTCAAATGGAATGAGCAAATTCTGACCTATAGGTACTTGTTAAGACCTGGAGGGCTGTGAGGGTAATTATGTCCAAGGACGTCATCAGTAGTCTACTTGGACTAGCTGTACTGTTTTCTGTTTTCTCTGTTAGTCTTCCCCAAGCCCCAAATCTATGTCAGAGAAACTGATTCTGCAAATTTTCCTTCTTTCTCCAACCTAACTTTAGAAAATGGTACTAACATCTATTCCCATGGCAATATTTTTTCCCTTGTGATCATTCTCATTAATAGTAGCAAACAATAAAAATAGACTCTAATTTTGCACATTTACTCTGCAATCTTCTAAGAATCCAGTATTCTGTTTTTAATTACATTATCTATGTTTTCCTAGGGTTATGTGTGTCCATGTACTTGCTGTTAGGCCTCACTGACTCTGTTCCAGCTCATAGCAGCCCTGTGTACAACAGAATAGATCCTGTGCCATCCTAACAATCATTCCTATGTTTTAGCTTACTGTTGGAGCCACTGTGTCAATCCAATTTATTGAGGTCCTTCCTCCTTTTTTACTGCCCTCTGCTTTACGAAGCACAATGTCCTTCTTCACGGACTTGTCTCTCCTGACAGCACATCCAAAGTATGTCAGATAAAGCCTTGCCGGTCTTTCCTTAAGGAGCAGCATTATGGCTGTACTTTTTCCAAGACAGATTTGTTTGTCGTTGAAAATACCCAAATACCTTTGGTAGCCCATGGTATTTTCATCTTTCTTTGCCAGCACATCATTCAAATGCATCAATTCTTCTTCAGTCTTTCTTATTCCACATCCAACTTTCATCTGTGTGTAACACAATTAAAAATATCCTGGTTTGAGTCAGGTACACCCTTGTCCTCAAAATCATTTCCTTGCTTTTCAATACTTTGGAGAGGTCTTTTTTTTTTTTTTGGAGAGGTCTTGTACAGCAGATTTACCCAATGCAACGTGTCCTTTGCTTACGTAGCATTAATGGTGGATCCAAGGAAGACAAATTCCTTAATGACTTCAACCTTTTTCTCCATTTATCATGATGTTACCTACTTGTCTAGTTAGGAGGATGTGGATATTCTTGACATTGAGGTGTAATCCAAGCTGAAGTCTGCAGTTCTTGATTATGCATTTCAAATCCTCTTCACTTTCAGCAAGTGAGGTTGTGTCATCTGCATATCACGGGTTGCTAATAAGACTTCCCCCAATCCTGATCCTGCATTCTGCTTCATCGCATCCAGCTTCTCTGTTTATTTGCTCAGCACATAGATGTAAATACAGCGAGAGTATACAACCCTGACACACACCTTTCCTGACTTTAACCCATGTGATTTTCCCTTGTTCTGTTTGCACAACCGCCTCTGGATCCTTCCACATGAACACAATGGAGCAGTCTGGAAGTTCCTTTCTTTCCAACACTAGACCTCGTTTATTATCTGCCCAATCGAATGACTTCATATTCAACGAAACACAATTCGACAGCTTTCTCATATTCTCTGCTTTCAGTCACGATCCATCTGATATGAGGAATGATATCGTTTGTTCCACGTCCTCTTCTGAATCCATTCTGAACCTTCGGCAGTTCCCTGTCAATACATGTTTACGACTGTTACTGCATGAATTTCAGCCAAGTTTTACTGGCATGTGATACCAATGATGTTGTTCTACAATTTGAGCATTCTATTGGGTCACCCTTCTTTGGAATGAGTACAACTATGGATCTCTTCCAGTCAGTTGGCCAAGTAGTTGTCTTCCAAATTTCCTGGTATAGACAAGTGAGTGCTTCCGGTGCTTTAGCAGCTTGTTGGAACATTGCAAATAGTATCCCATCGGTTCTTGGAGCCTTGCTTTTGGTTAACTCTTTCAGTGCAGCTTGAATTTCTTCCTTCAGTACCATTGGTTCTTGCTCATATACTACTTAAAATGGTGGAATATTGATTAGTTCTTTTTGGTACAGTTTAATATTTCCACATTCTTTTGATGCTTCCTGCATCATTCAATACTTTACCTGGATAATCTTTCAATATTGCAATTCCAGGCTTAAATTTATTCTTGATTTCTTCCAGTTTAAGATATGCAATGCTACATGTGTACTTCCATTTGGTTTTCTAAGGCTACATCTTTGCCCATTTCATTTTAATATTGTACTTTGTCTTCTTGATCTGCTCTTTGAAATTGAAATTCTCTGTAACGTTCCTCATTCTGTTGCTTCATCATTTCCCCCCCCCATTTTCCTTAGCTACTCTAAGATTAAGTGCAAGTGTGAGAGTCTTTTCTGATACCCACTTTGATTTTTTTCTCTTTCCTGTTTTTTAATGATGATTTGGGTTTTTCATGAATGATATTCTTGATGTCTTCCCACAGCCCATCAGGTCTTCTGTCATTGATGTTTTGTGAAGAAAATCTTCTCGAGATATTTCTGAAATTCACATAAGATAGACTCAAGCTTGTATTTTGGCTCTCTTGACCTAGTTTAAATTTTTGAAACTTAGATATGAGCAATTGCTAGTCTGTTCCACAGTTAGCCCCAAGCCTGCTTTTAGCTCCTGGTATCGAGCATCTCCATCATCTCTTTGTAAAGACGTAATCAACCTGATTTCTGTACATTTCATCTGGAGATGTCCATGGGTATAGTTGGCATTTGCATTCTTGAAAAAAGGTATTTTCTATGAATAATTCTTTGGTCTTGCAAAATTCTTTCATGCAATCTCCAGCTTCATTTCTATCACCTGGACCATATTTTCCAATACTCTTCTTTCCTCTTCATTTCCAACTTTTGTATTTCCGTGGTCCATACTTTTTATGTATTTTAATTAAATGTTAGATCAATTTCAGACTAAAAATGTTGGTAAAATTCTTCAATTTCTTCTTCACTGGCTGTAGTGATTGGTGCACAAATTTGAATAATAGTTGTAGTGATTAGATTTATTCAAATGGGATAGATATATTCCTAACACAGACAGCATTGTACTTCAAGATAGATATTGAAATGTCCTTTCTAACAAAGACTGCAACACCATTCCTCTTGATTGTGCTAGTCCCAGTGTAGTAAACCATAAGATTTTCTGATTCAAAATGGCCTAAATGAGTCCATTAAATTCATTAATGCCTAGACATCTTGAGTTCCATTTCATTCTTGATGACTTTCTACTTTCCTAGCTTCATACCTCATACATTCCAAGTTCTGACTGTAAGTATATTTTTCAGCTGTTTGGTCTCAGGTTGAGTCATGGCCCAACAGCAAATGAAGGTCCCAGATGACTGATTCCGCAAAGCTTCACTTCCTCTATCATATTGTCACAGGTTTTCCTTGAGAAATCATTTTTCACTCACTCATATTTGAGTGCTTTCCAATCGCAGAACTTATCTTCTGGCATTTTCTCTGACAATATTCTGCTTCTGTTCATGAGTTTTTCAGTATCTGACAATATTTCAGTGCTGTCCACAGTTTTTTTGTGGCTAATTCTTCAGAAGTGGACAGCCTGTTCCTTCTTCATAGTCGGTTCTTAGTCTGGATGTTCTGCTGACCCCTGTTCATGTTAGATGACCTGCTGGCATTGGAAATATCAGTGAAATTGCTTCCAGCCCTACAGCAATGCACACGCTGCCACAGTAAGGCAACCTGACAGACAGGTGGTGGCTGTGTATACTTAAGATATGGTTTTAAATCATTTCTTTGTCTCTCTATGTTACTCTATTAGGGTTCTAAAACATATTGGAAAATAGATTTTAAAAATCTAGCAATATTAAATGTTATAGCATAATATACATTTGATTTAACTTGACAACCCCCACCCCATACACACACACAGTAAATTGTCACAATTATCCTATAAGACAGTGGTTCTCAACCTTTACAAAGAATAAGATGGCAAAGTGGGATAAGGATTGATTGAATTGCTAACAGAAGAGTCAGTGATTCAAACCCATAGCCCACAGTGTGTACAGGAGAGGGGAAAGATGAGAATGTGTGCTATTGTAGTGATTTCTAATAGGAGAAACCTTACAGAGCAATTCTGTTCTGGCCGACAGGGTCACGATGGATCAGAATGGACTCATTGGCAGTAGATTTGTTGTTCATTTTTTATAAATATGTCCATAGAAAGTTTCATTCCTGTTTAAATACTTCAGTTTGTTTGGCAAAGACTCAATTTTTATACAAGAAAAGAAAATAGGTCTAAGAATTTAATTGACTTGGCTGAAAGTTTAGTAACTCCATTTTAGAGTTAGAGTAATCCCTCTAACTTTGAGCTATTCCACTGAAATATTTCTTTATGCAGGATTATCAACTACCCATATGGCTTGAAGAGATCCACAGTGAAAAGTATCATGCGGGCAGCAGTTTCCATCTGGAGCAGTGTGACTCCCTTGGTCTTTGAGGAAGTGGAGAATCAAGATGCAAACATCAAGATGTCTTTCTGGGCTTTGGGTAAGAACTGCCAAGGGAAGGGGAACACTATGTTTCATGTTAAAAGGTAACATATTCTTGCCTTTAACAAAGACTCAGCTCACACAGTTATGTTTCTTAATAAAGGAAATGAGGGAAGGGCAGGGAAGGGAAGGAAGGAAGGAAGGAAGGAAGGAAGGAAGGAAGGAAAAAAGAATCAGTCAATGCTCTTATGTGAATCAACCCATCTATCACACAGGGAAAAAAAAAATTAGTTTAGGGGACTGCTAAGTTGCAAAGTGTGTGCATTGCCATTGTGAATACGGTGAGACTAGGGCAATTGCACATTTCCCTGTCACAGGTGAACTGTGTAGCCCTTGGATTGTTGAAATACTAGTTGATGTGGATCACATCTTTTTATAACAATCTGTAGAGTTTGAATTTTCTTTCCTCGTTTCCTCTACACTTAGGAAAGAGGATTTGGGGTCTAACTGAAGTAGCTAGATATTTGCCCCACACTATGGTTAGATACTGGGCTGCTAACCTTAAGATTAGAGTTCAAACACATCTTCTGCTTTATGGGAGAACAAAGACTGCCTGCTCCCAAAGATTTGCACTGTTGGAAACCCTGTGATCCACTTCCCATCCTTACATATCTTTTTCTTGGTTGCTATGACTGTGAATTTGTCCTTTTGGTTTGATTACCTTCAATGAGTCCTTTGTAGAGTTAGCCTGGTTACTTTCAACCATTTCTTTGTGT